AGAAAATACATAGACTGGATTTCCCTGCAACAGGGAGAGAAAAACAACTTCTCTCTTTGCAGAAAATAGGGCTAGTGTCTAAATTTACCACTTTTTTGGAAGAAAGCTTTCTGCTTTTAATGATTTATTGAAAAAAAAAATCATTCATGTTTATATGAATCCTTGGTTTGTGATTTCACAACAGATTGTAAACAGTGAAAATCCCCACAGATGGGGAACTTAGATCAACAACTTCATAGCTTGGGATTACAAGGAAAAACTGTATATCTCTTTCTTAAACATAGATTTGAAATTTTTATTTTATTCTAAGAATATCTTATAGGCTGATTCTAAACTGATTTGATACAACAAGCAGACAGATGGTATAGTGCAGGAAAACAACTTTTTGCCACAGTTGAAGGTCAGTACTTCACTTTCAATTGGATTTGCTCACAGGTTTCAGCTGCATGTGACAAAAGGAAGTTGTCTTCAAAGTGATAAAATGAAATGGCACTGCCAGAAATGTGAATAAAGGGAAGGGGCGAAGACCTGGCCTGGTTTTGGATAGAACAATTCCCAATCCTTGGGTGGATGGCAGCATCTAGAAAGGACCTCATGCTCCCAATCTCTCCAAACCTCCTTGCTCCCATCTCCCACTTCCAGCTTCACCAATACCGCCTGCTCTTACTTTTTGCCCTACTACAACTGAAGTCCAAACCTCTTGTCAGTGCCACATGCAATGATGGAGACATCACTGTACACAGGTTGTCACTGGCACAGATGTTTTCTGAGGCCAGTCTTGGTGCAGCCAGGTGAAGACACTGCTCACATCTGTGCATAGAAGGTGCCAATACTGCATTTTGGACAAGCAGATAGCTTCAGTTATCCTCCCCACACAAGCTTTGGTGGTACCTGGAATATTGTGTGCAGTTTTTATCTCCAAATCGATAGAAGAATATACTTGCCTTGGAGATGATGCAGTGAGAGTTTACTAGATAGTTTTCTAGAATGAAAAGGTTATCCTATATGACGAGGCTGAGTAAATTGGACCTTAAATCTGTGCAGTTTAGAAGAATGAGAGATTATCTCATTGAAACATATAAGATTCTGAAAGGGCAAAGACAGAGAAGCTGTTTGCTCTAACTGTGGAATCTAGAACATGAGGCACAGCAATGATAATAATATTAATAATAACAACACAGATAAGGGGTCGACTGAGAATTTGTGAAGAGAAGAAATCTCTACACTCAGACGATTGAGAAGTTTTAGAATTCTCTACTGCAGAGAGTTGTGAATCCTCCATCATTGGACATACACAAAGCTAAAACAGACATACTTTTGATCTCTTGAGGCAGGAAAATGGAGTTTAGGCACATGATCAGCCATGACCATACTGAATAGCAAGGGACTGTATGGCCTAATCCTGTTCCTATTTTGCAAATATTTAAGTTCCTTTAACAAAGTATTATTTGCATCACAGTATTTGGCAAACCTTTTTTTAGGTTTGTTAACTAAACAGGTTAACCTCATTCATATCATTACGATATTGAGTTGCAGTCAGGTTGATACAGATAGATTCATGCCTTTTGACAGGAATATTCATTAAATCATGAAAACAAATCACAGAATGACAGAAACTGTAATTTGAAGAAAAAATCTAGCAGTGGAGTCTCACATGTGTGCTAAAACACTAAATAAATGTCTTATAAAAATGATGGTTTGTTTCATTAAGTCCAAATCCTACATTCTGATATGGCCTCATGTCAATGCGACGTCCTCCTTTGTCAAAAGTTTGAGAGAATGGAATATTCCAATCTTTCTGTTCAGTGCACCTCTCCATTCTACTATAGAAATAAAGCAATTTCACAGTGTAGCAATGATAAGTTATGTTGCAACAGACATTATTGATTATTCTTCTCTCTGGTCATCTCTATATCTTACTAATATCCTTATGTCTCTATTCAATTTGTTCCACATTTGACATATTGTATGATCTGATCACTATTGTATTATTTATTTTTACAAATAACTCAAAATGTTTTGTAAAGTTTCCTATCTCTCAGTTCCTCCTCAGCAAATGAAGTTCCTAATATCAAAAATACAGGTTTAAAGAAATTGCCAAACATTTTGCAATAATACAATTATGTTAATCCAGTAAGTTATTTTGTTGGATACTGCCTTCATTAAACAGAGTGGGAGAAAAAGAAATTGTGTTATGGTAGCTATTGTTTTATGTACTATAAACTTCATAAAGTAGATGAGACAATATTTCTACGCAGTAATGTTCAAATTTCAATTATCTGACCTGTTGACTGTTGTAAAAAGTGCTTACAAACTTAAGACAGATTTTTATTACCACCAAGGGCTGGATTTTATGCTGGGGGATTAATCTGGCAAACTGTTTACTGGCTTGAGTCAGGCCTTCCACTTTATCAGGATGAACTCCCAGCTCCAGGATTTGGCCGGTTGCTCTCTGGTCCAATTGTGTTGCCAAGAGCAGTGACAACTGCTGAGACTGCAAACAGTCCCAAAGTGTGTGATTTGCAACACAGCCAGGATGAAAGGCAAAACCAGGGACATGTTGGAGCCAGGCTGACAGGCTACAGTGTGGGGGCCTGGGGTGAACAAGGGATGAATGATGTGAAGGTGGAAGTTAACCCCGTGGAAGGCCTCCTTTGGGCACAGGGGGTCCATGAAGAAGGTATCTCCCAATCCTTGGCCTAGCCACCAGTCCACTCAGTTAAATGTGGCGAGCTGGACAGTAATGTCGCTTTCACCCGATGCAGGTACAATCCCAGTGGCAGTGGGAGGAGAGTCTAGCCCTGGGAGGAACATAAAATTCAGCCCATAAGGTGAAACAGATAGAAACAGAGTCAAGCAGCAGGCCTTGAGAATGAGATAAACTCTCTGATGACATAATTGGGAAGACGGGGAAGGGTTGAATGGGAACTGCTCAGACTCAAATCTCAAGTATGGCCTGGAACTGTTAGTAGATGGTTCATCCATGGCACCATGCCAATATGTTTCACTACCTTGCACCAGAATGGAATTATAAAACAGGATCATGGAATAGTTACAGCACCAGAAGAAGGCATTTGGTCTGTCATGTCTGTGCTATTTTGACATAAGCTTGAAACAAAAGAGAAATGGAAGAAACAAACAGTTAAGGGGGAAAAAACACAGTAAGAGAGGAGACAGACAGAGCAACATAAAAACAAAACAACAGTACAATTAAATATTATGATGCACAATGTCCAATACATTGGCAAACTCAAAAAAAAACCTCAATGCTCTAGTGTTCCACCTGATGAGGTATTAAGTTCTGTACATATTCAAATAAGGAGCTGAGCCCTATTTGAAATTCCATCTGCAAATGCTGGGTCACCCTGAACATAGCTTGATTTAGTAAAAGAAAGTCCTAATAGGACACTTGCAGGCCACACCTTACAAGTTCAGTATTCAAAATATAATTGCCTGTTGTTTTTATATTAATTTGTGGGACATGGGTGTCACTGGCTGGGCCAGCATTTATTGCCCGTCCCTGATTGCCGTTGAGAGGTGGTGGTGAGCTGCCTTCTTGAACTGCTGCAGTCTACGTGCTGTGGGTTGACCCGATATACAGTTAGGGAGAGAATTCCAGAATTTTGACCCAGCAGCAGTGAAGGAACAGCGATATATTTCCAAGTCAGGATTGTGAGTGACTTAGAGGAGAACCTGCAGGTGGTGGTGTTCCCATGTATCTGCTTGCCCTTCCAGATGGAAATGATCATGATTTGGTGAATTTCTGCAGTGAATCTTACAGACAGTACACACTGCTGCCACTGAGCGTCTGTGGTAGAGGGAGTGGATGTTTGTGGATGTGGTGCCAATCAAATGAGCTGCTTAGTCCTGGATGGTGTCAAGCTTCCCATCCAGGCAAGTGGAGAGTGGTCCATCAATGCCTGACTTGTGACTTGTAGATGGTGGACAGGCTTTGGGGAGTCAGGAGGTGACTTACTTGCTACTGTATTACTAGTCTGACCTGCTCTAGTAGTCACTGATTATCACTGGTCACACACTGGTCAAACTGCAACATAGAATGGAATTTTCCCTTCCATAGAGGTGGTAAGGGAGGTGCTGAGAAGGGAAAATAATTGGGTGAGTTTGTCCTGGAGAGAAATTTACCCCATTCTTACTACATCTGCATTTAAATACTGGGCAAGAAATGTCCATGGGCTGCTTTCTCAACTCGCCAGCAACTAAGACCCCTAAGTGATCAATTAATAGCCAATTAAGGGCTGCAACTCACTATTCTCCAATTATAAGAAGGGTGGCCAGATTCCCAACATGGCGACCTGCCTGTTAAGATTGGGGCAGGTCTCCAATTGCCCTAATCTAGTGGCAGTCAGAGGCATAGAAAGTGGGCAAAGGGGTGGCATCTGAAAGCCAATCCCCTGCCTTTGCCTCCAATCTCCCTGACCATCCTCTCTTCGCAATCCCTACCCCAAACAAAGAAGAGAAACCTTGCCTCCATTGGATCCCCTCCATAGCAGGCCTCAACCACTGGTCCTCAATTTGACAAGATTCCTCAGAGGAATAAAAATTCACCAATGCATGCCTGTGAGCTCTTAATGACAAATTAGTCACCGCCCAGATCTCTTGTCCCCACACATCGTCCAAAAATGTGAATTGTCAGTTACTTTTCCCTGCCAGCGACTGTGCAGTGTCTACCCCATTGGTATAAAATAGACTAATGGCTCCATCTCATCCACACCAAGCCACATTCTAATTCACCTCATGGTATTCTTAACTACCTGAACAGAATACATGACTAATATAAGCATTTTATATTGCAAAATGATCATGTGCTGGAATTTTTATTTCACCATGTAATCCATTGAGTTCATTTCTGCAACTGCTTTTTACAGAGACTGCTTGGATTTATAGCCACTTAAGCATTTGAAGAAGACATACCATATATTTCTTATTGTAAAAAGCTGATCTTTAGAAGAATTACTGTTGTACTGTCATGACATACTAACCTGGGTAGTCCAGCACTGGCCCAAACTGTATCCATTAATACTTCTTCATGTTGCAGTGGTGCGAGTGCTTTCCAGGATTCCATAAGTTCATCTCCCAGGCTGCAACTATCTGTAGAAAACATAAAACATAAATTGTTTCTGTGTTGACATTGTTTCAGCTATGTCTTTTTTTTCCGATCTAATCTTTATTTTAAAAACGAACAGCTTCCAAACATCTACTTTAATCAATTATTCAATAAAGCACAAGTTGGAAAACCACCAGATTGAACAAAATTGGGGGGGTGGGGGCGGTGTGAAAGTTATGTGATCAATTCTGACTTTGTGCCAACTTCATTTATGAGGATCAGGTCATAATAAAGAATATTTCATTTGTATATTGACTCTGCTTAAGTAAACTGTTTAAGTGATAGGTTAGAGAGTTTTTGGACAAAATTCACTAGCACCATCAACTGAGGCTGATCCACCTCCGGGAGTGCACTCTGCAGCTATTCAATTCTGGTACAGCCAGATGCTTGTCTGGGGATCCCTGTGTGTTCCAGAAGCAACTGAATGTGTTCTATCATGATGCCACACAGCCCCATCAGCTTATGAGATGCCCATTTACTAGGTTACAACCTCACAGCTCCATTCAGCAAATTTCATATCACCAAAGATCAAGTGTTCAAATCCAAGAGGAGCCTAGCATTAGTGTTACTTTAAGGAGCACACACTCAAATTGCAGAACAGGTAGCTTTGAAGAATTTCTGCAATTTTAAACTGTCTAATAGTTGTCTGGAATGATTCATTGAGGATTGTCAACTTGATATTGGTCACTGCAATTTCTCTGCACCACCCCCCCCCACCCCCCTTCATCCATTTCAACCTATCTCCCTCTGAACTGACTGCACTTCATGCTGTCAGATCCAACCCTGACTTTATAATCAAGCCTGCTGACAAGGATGGTGCTGTTGTTTGGCATACTGACTTCTACACTGCATAGGCTAAGCACCAGCTCTCAGATATCTTCTCCTATCTCTCCCAGCTTATGACCCCACATGGAACACCAGGACATTGTGTTCACAACTGTCACTAACCTCATTTCATCCAGCGATCACCCTGCTACTGCCTCCAAGCTCATAGCCCCCAAACCCACACAGCCCACGTTTCCTTCCCAAAATCCACAAACAATACTGCTCGGACAGACCCATTGTTTCTGCCTGCTTTTGCCTGACAGAACTCATCTCCACCTACCTTGACTCAATTTTTGACACCCCTTGTCCAGTCCCTTCCTATTTACATCTGGGATTCTTCTGATGCTTTACATCAGTTTCAGAATTTATAGTTTGTGGGCCCCAGCTGCTGCCTCTTTACCATGGATGTGCAATCCCTTTTTAAGTCCATTCCCCCCCTCAGTCTCATGGGTCTCCACTTCTTCCTGGAAAAAAAGCCTGAACCATTCCCCATCCACCACCAATACCCTCCTCTGCCTGGCTGAGCTCATCCTCACTTCGAGCAACTTCTCCTTTAACTCCTCCCACCTTCTTCAGGTCCAAGGGGTGGCCATGGGTACCCACATGGGCCCAGTTGTGCCTGTCTCTTTGTGTGGAGTACATAGAACATTCCTTGTTCCAGTCCTACTCTGGCCCCCACTCACAGCTCTTTCTCTGGTAATACAGACAACAAGATTGGTGCTGCTTCCCTCTCTCATCCAGAACTGGAAAAATTAATTAATTTTGCTTCCAATTTTCACCCCTCTCTCAACTTCACCCGGTCCATCTCTGACTCCTCCCTTCTCTTCCTTGACATTTGTTTCCATCTCTGGGGACAAACTGGCCACCAGCATCCACTACAAACCCAGCAACTCCCACAGTTACCTTGACTATACATCCTTATTCGCTGTGGAGACTCTATTCCATTCTCCCACTTCCCCCGTCTCCATCACATCTGTTCCGATGATGCCAACCTGACAGGAGGGCTTCCAAAAGTCCATCTTCTTCCTCATCTGAGGATTCCTCACCACCGTGATTGACAGGGACTTAAGCCGTGTCCGATCCAACTCCTGCACTTCAGTCGTCACCCCCTCTCTTCCCTCCTATAACAGCAATATGGACCCCTTGTCTTACCATCCACCAGTATCTACATCTAAAAGATCATTAGCAGCCATTTCTGTCACCTCCAGCAGGATGCCACCACCAGCCACTTCTCCCCCTCCCTCCATTGTCAGCCTTCCATAGGGACCATTCCCTCCGGGACACCTTGGTCCACTCATCCTCCATTCCCAACACCTCCCAACACCTCCACAATTCTTCCCATGCAATTGCAGAAAGTGTAACACCTGCCTATTTACTTTCTCCCTCCTCACTATCTAAGGCCCCAGACACACCTTCCAGGTGAAGCAGTGATTTACTTGCCCTTCACTCAATCTAGTCAATTGCATTTGCTGCTCACAATGAGGTCTCCTCCACACTGGGAGACAAAACGCAGACTGGGCGACTGCTTTTCAGAACACCCACGTTCTGTCTGCAAAAATGACCCTGAGCTTCCAGTTGCCTGCCATTTCAACACACCACCATGTTCCCTGGCTAACGTCTTTGTCTTGGGCTTGCTGCAGTGCTCCAGAACAATCTGGAAGAACAACACCTCATTTTCTGTTTGGAACCCTGCAGCCTTCTGGACTCAATATTGGGTTCAATAATTTTAGGGCCTGAGCAACTTCTTCCATGTCCCTACCCCAGTTGCCACACACCAGGCCTTCAGGTCATAACATGGGCTGCTACAACTTACAACCCATTGTCAGCTACTAATGGTCCCCATTGGCACCTATTTGTTCTTGGAACTGGATATCTTCATAATCCTTGACAGGAGGTTTTTTGTCATGGCAGCCAATGTATCCAGCCATCTCACTGTGTATGCCCATCAGAGTGCCCATAAATGTGCTCCTGTATGACATACCATCAAGGTCTTCATCTGAGTCCTTTGCAGTAAAACTCATCAGCAACTTTACGTTGTACTAAGCTGAAATGGGAACTATCCTTTATCATTTTCCTAGTTACAGCCCACTTGTACGTGTGCTAACCCCAACTCTGATCTAGCCTTTAACTGAGCTGGTGGCAGTGAATGTCTTCCTTTTAGCTTTATTCTTTCATGAGATGTGGATGCCACTGGCAAGGCCAGCATTTGTTGCCAATCTCTTGTCCTTGAACTGAGTGGCGTCCTTGAACTGAGTGGCATCCTAGTCCATTTCAGTGTGCAGTTAAGAGGCAACCACTTTGCTGTTGATCTAGAGCCACATGGAGGCCAGATCAAGTGTGGAAGGCAGATTTTCTTTCCTAAAAGATATTAGTGAACCAGATGGGTTTTTCTGACGTTCAATGGTAGCTTCAATTCCAGATTTATTCCATCATAATTGGGCTGGGCTTTTGGATTATTACTTCATTGATGATATTACCATTCTGCTGTCATCTGCCCCAAGTTCAAGTGACAATGCTTCTTCAATGGAATGGCATTGCTTTTACTCCTGTTCTTTGAGCTGCTGTGGTTGGACTGGTGGCAGTATTGCATGTATGAAAGCAGAAAATCAGAAGGGAAAAGTTGGGGTTAGGGAAGGAAGGCAAAGTGGAAAGCAAAACGTCCATTATTACACCATCAGCTCATACTGCCAGATGGTAGGGTGAGGATTAGCCGGGTGTTGAAAGGGGACACATGGCAGAAACATATCATCATGAATGTTTCTTAGTATTGCTCGACATCTTAGACTCTGTCACTGTGTGGTCCACAATGTGGAGAACTAGATCTTCCATAGGGTTGAGGAGGTGCAGGCATCCTTGTCCCTGTTAGCTATGCTCTGTTCCCTTCTACTGTCTTACTTCACTCCCTTCACCTTGTCCTGCAGAAGAGAATGAAGCATGTCAATGTCTACTGTGTTTGGATGATATGCGTGCTATACGCGAGAGGCCATTGGTCCGTAGGTTAGGAGTTTTCAGGGTATGTGTTTTCGTTGTCCTTAAGCATCCACACAAGACATCTTGTGGTATTGCTGGCAGATCTTTGGAGCTAGATGCCTGGAATTAAACTCTGGCACTTTACTTTTAATCCATTCCGATGATTGTTCTAGAGGGTCTCCTGTCCCACAGAGCTATCACATCTCTTTTCCTGTCCACCGCCACCACCACCACCACCACCATCAAAGCCTACATTGTCACATCTCTGTCCTGGTTTGCCATTGCAGAAATAGTATTCATCAGCAAATCCCAGTTATTCAAGTACAGCTTCCATTTAAATGAAACAGGCTGCCTTTAGAAAAGAAACGTTAGCTGCGCTATACATTAGTAGCACAACACTGCTGGGTCCCCTACTGAGTGCAGAGAGAAGCTGAGGTTTGAGTACCAAATTTACATGTTGCCACATTCACCTAGAACAAGTGCAGGCATTGCACAAACATACTTTTGCCCTTACCATTTTGATTCTCTTTAATTACGATTTGTGATTATAATAAAAAAGGCAGTTTCCATAAACTGATATGTGTCTCCTAGTCAAGAACTGACTGACAAAGGGTCACTAGATTCAAAAGGCTAACTCTATTTTTCACTCCACAGATATTGTCAGACCTGCTGAGTTTCTCCATCACTTTATGTTTTTGTTTCAGATCTCCAGCGGCCGCAGTTCTTTTGTTTAATTCCTTCCCATTAAGCTCCTTCTCATTATTAATCACATCTACCATTTAGATCAAGGCATTTTGGCATATTTTGCTTTGAAAGGCCGCCTTTCGTGTTATAAAAATTCCAAATACACCATGTAACACAAGTATTTTTCTGTATAAAAATTAGTTATACAATTAAACATACATAATTATTTACTTAAATGTGTTGCTGGTGCTGCGTAACAATTTTGTAAAGGTATTATAAAGGTAATTTTAAGAAAAAAATGAGTGGAAATGGGAAACATTTGACCAAAAAGTAGAAAATCATGTTTGGGGACTAAATGCAAAGGGGAAATGGGGCCCACAAGACTAGTGATAGGTAAATCAAAACTGTAAAACGAAAGCAAATTGTGCAAAATAATCCAATTAAAGTACAAAAATATTTGCAGGGACCAAATCCAAAATGGGAAATGGTCAACCAAATTGCAGAGAATTGTAAAACCAAAACATATAGAAGTTAACTAAGAAAAAGAGGAGTAGGGGTAAATGGCTAATTCAAAACTGCAATTAATGGTCTCAAGTCGGAAGTGAGAAAAAGCTTTCCTGAAAAACAGTGCTGGCCTGTGTGGTTGGGGGCCTGGAATTACATTAGTTAATAACTTCCCATTGTCACTTTCTGAATTCACAATTTTTTTTGTCAATCTAGCTTCAGATAAAATGTATTTCATACAAGGATTTTAGAGTTTGATGAATAAGTGATTTTTGATTCCATTGCTGGGAGAACTAGTGAGTGGATATAGAAATAAACAGAATCACATTAAATGATGATCAGGGGAGCAGTGAGGATCTGAAATAAAAGGATAAATCAAAGATAAATCATAACAGTGAAACATTACTTCGGTGTATAAAAGTCAGCAGGCCAGAATGGGATGAGGACGATAAAAAATGTTAATATGACTAAAACGGTAAATGAGATTATGTCTGATGGTTTGCTAATTAGCTAATTCCATCTGCAGTCCAGAAATGAAGAAACAAGGAGTGAGAGATGTTGAATCATTATGAATGAGCGGACAAATGTTATGCAAGTAAACTGATACATTTAAAATGGGATTACACATGATGCCCATCTTCAAAACATTTTGAAAGGACAGACACTGAAAACTGTCAAGCCATTTGTCTAGAATAAACATCAGGTTGAATAATAAAATTGATTATCAGAAATTGTGAATTGCCTATATGATAGGCTGGGAAACCATTATTGTTTCAGAAAGAAAACAGCCTGCATGATCAAGCCCATGTTTAAGGAAGAGAAATCTCTTGCAACTCTATGGAAATTCTCATACATAGGAGAAAATTAGTGCAGGATCCACATGACATTAAAGGGGCAAATACATGAGATGACGATTTCAAACTCTAGCTACATTTAATTTGCAATCATTTAGTTGTCCATTTGCTATGCATGCAGAGTGAACATGTTTAGAGTCGAAATGCTGCAGAAAGGCAATTTACAAATTGAATGATGATGTAGTTCGTGGAAATGACTTGAAAAGAGGCCAACAATGGCCAAAGGCAAACCATTAATCATGCAACTTTCAAAGGTGTTGTGGGAACTCTGAGCATTGCTGAATTATCTGTCATGTAAGTTTGACAATGATCTGTACTGAATGTAATGAAAAGTTGAATGAGTGATATAGATGAGGAAATGTAAGGGGGTGGAGTACAGCAGGCACTCTTTTTTATGTAATATGCTGGTCACTCAGCCGGCACGTCCCTTTCACCAAGTTGGTGCACATGCTGAACCAATTCCACCTCATGCAAACACCTGGCAAAATGTGGTCAGAGATGTAATTCTAGGATTGGGCTTACCAAGGACCCACAGAACACTAGACCACTAACACGGAATTTCCTAGGTGGACAATCCTAGTCATTAGTGAGTGAGATGATGGCACATGCTGAGGGCTGAAGTTGAATGAATGAGGAAGACATGGCCCCCATTATTGGGGTGCAGCATGTCACATTACATGAGTAGCGTGTTCAGTGCTAATCTCCAGTGTATACCACAAATGTTTCTCCTGAGATGTGTCTTTTGTTCCTTGCGTTTCCAGCATATGTTATATCCGCCAACAATGCCGCACCCTCCCACAAGTGGGATTTTGGCCACTGTCTTTCTAAGATGGTATAAGCAGTTGCAGTAGGACCTGGGCCAATAGTGAGCCCAGGAGGCCGAGGAGCTCTTAGCTCAGGGAGAGGTCACTCTTGCAGGCCGCAAGAGACACAGAGCTTTTTGGCCTGACTCCATTGACTGGAGTGGGACCTGAGCATTGAAGGAGTGGCAGGATATCCTGTCCTGGTGGGTGTGAAGGTGACAGACACTTTTGATTTCTAAGCAACTGGCTTCTTCCAGGGACCAGTTTTGGATTCTCTCAATCATGCATTTATTCATGCATTTGGGCAGTACCATGTCTCAGTGGTTAGCACTGCTGCCTCACAGCGCCAGGGACCTGAATTCAATTTCAGCCTCTCGCTGTGTGGAGTTTTCACGTTCTCCCTGTGTCTGTGTGCCTTTCCTCCGGAATCTCCAGTTTTCTCCCACAGTCTGAAGATATGCAGGTTAGGTGGATTGGCCATGCTAAATTGCCCCATAGTGTCCAGGGATGTGCACACTAGGTGGATTAGCCATGGAAAATGCAGGGTTACAGGGATAGGGTGGGCCTGGGTGGGATGTTCTTTGGAGGGTTGGTGTGGACTCAATGGACCAAATGGCCTGCTTCCACACTGTAGGGATTCTATAAATGCATGGGGACAGTGGTTGATGCCATCTGTGCAGGATCATACAAGTTCATTTTGTTTCCCAGTGTTGAGCAGGATTCGGGAACATAGTTGGCTTCCCACGGGAGCAGGCTGATTAATCTCCAGGCGATCTGTGAACACAATTACCATTTACTGGAAATTATGCTTGCTTTCCTGGCAGCTGCTACCACTCCTATATCCTCTCAAGCATCTGGTGTACTTCAGGGTTGAAGTGCTTTACGAGGCTGGTTACGGTGGGGCAAGGGCTTCCTCCTGCAACTATTGAACAAGCCCCTGACTGATGCAGATAACAGATAGAATGTTGCCCATGCTTCAACTAAGGCCATGGTGGAGCAGACAATAGGGCTATTGCTTAGACCAGTCTGGGAATGGACCTTCCAGTGTAACCTGAGGCAGAGTGTGCTGCATCATTCTGCCATGCTGTGCTTTGCACAATTGGAGCATACAAAGAGGCAATGTGCTGGATCATGAGTTCAGGCACCACAATCCCAATAGGCCCTAACTGACATCTGGTTCCTGTAGGGGTTGCATGGGGTCCAGGGTGTACTAGCTAGATGGATAGAGAACTGGCTGGGCAACAGGAGACAGAGAGTTGTAGTGGAAGGGAGTTTCTCAAAATGGAGAACTGTGACCAGTGGTGTTCCACAGGGATCCATGTTGGGACCACTGTTGTTTGTGATATACATAAATGATCTGGAGGAAGGTATAGATGGTCTGATTAGCAAGTTTGCAGATGACACTAAGATTGGTGGTGTAGCAGATAGTAAAGGGGACTGTCGGAGAATGCAGCAGAATATAGATAGTTTGGAGAGTTGGGCGGAGAAATGGCAGATGGAGTTCAATCCAGGCAAATGCGAGGTGATGCATTTTGGAAGATCCATTCAAGAGCGAACTATATGGTAAATGGAAAAGCCCTGGGGAAAATTGATGCACAGAGAGATCTGGGTGTTCAGGTCCATTGTACCCTGAAGGTGGCAACGCAGGTCGATAGAGTGGCCAAGTAAGCATACGGCATGCTTTCATTCATCGGACGAGGTATTGAGTATAAGAGTTGTCAGGTCATGTTACAGTTGTACAGGACTTTGGTTCGACCACATTTGGAATACTGCGTACAGTTCTGGTCGCTACATTACCAAAAGGATGTGGATGCTTTGGAGAGGGTGCAGAGGAGGTTCACCAGGATGTTGCCTGGTATGGAGGGCGCTAGCTATGAAGAGAGGTTGAGTAAATTAGAATTATTTACATTAGGAAGACAGAGGTTGAGGTCTACAAAATCATGAGAGGTATAGACAGGGTGGATAGCAAGAAGCTTTTTCCCAGAGTGGAGGACTCAATTACTAGGGGTTACGATTTCAAGGTGAGAGGGGAAAAGTTTAAGGGAGATATGCGTGGAAAGTTCTTTACGCAGAGGGTAGTGGGTGCCTGGAATGCGTTGCCAGTGGAGATGGTAGAGGCGGGCACGATAGCGTCATTTAAGATGTATCTAGACAGATACATGAATGGGCAGGGAGCAGAGGGATATAGATCCTTGGAAAATAGGCGACAGGTTTAGATAGAGGATCTGGATTGGCATAGGCTTCGAGGGCCGAAGGGCCTGTTCCTGTGCTGTAATTTTCTTTGTTCTTTGTTCTGTAGATGAGAGCTGGTGAAAAACACCCATGGAATGTACATTAGTCATTGATCATAAGGCCAGCATTTGGTTTGCATTGTAGGAAGAAACCACAGTCTCTCTTAAGTTCTGTTTGTGTTCCCTTTTGGTAGCTGTAGATAAAAACTCATATCTGCCTACCTGCAAATAATGTTCTCCTACTGGACAATGACAAGTTGCGGTCTCCGGTGGGCATTGGGCCAGAATAATGGTCAGGTACAAAGAATTTTTATATGGGCAGGTAAATTGCATGGTCTGGGTAAACTGCATGGTCTGGTTAAACAGCGACAAGTGAGAAAATGGAACTTTACTTGCAAGGGAATGTTAGCTATGTCAGCTATGTGCCACAACCATCATAGCTTAGTGGTTGCTGTGCCATTATGCTATTGGTGAGGGGCAGCACAGGACTGCCAGCCTTGCCTGGATGCACATTGGCATTTCAAATATGGTGCAGGCACAAGAGATGCTAGTCTTTCAGCAGATACCAGTAAGTGTCAAGTTGTTCCAGGAATGACACATTGTAAAACGGGGCTCGAATTGGATACAAGGGACACCATAGGGGCAAGGTAGGTAGTTAATGAGGCACATTTGGTATGATACAGCAAGAAGTTTTGCTGGGCCTTGCTACAAGAAACCCTCCAAAGAATATGATGCAACTCACTATTTGCCAGAAGAACCAAGATCTGACCCTAAAAGTAATAATGAATATCCTTCTGGATGCCCCTACTTTAAACTGCCCAACACCCAGATATTGTAAAAACAAATTCTTATACTTACAGCCATCTGCTAGTGCTTGTTGGAATTGTCTCTTGAAGGTAGAACTCCTGTAAGCTCCTGACCTGATCCCTTTGTTACGTATCGCTTTCTTTCGCACTAATGTGAGTGAAGAGAATGGACAGTCTTCTAAAGATTTTTCAAAAGGCTCCAGTTCTTTTGATTGAACCTAAACATGTAATCAAGTTGCCATTAGTTTAATTTGCATTTTATTGAGTGGTTGAAGAATCATAACAGCAGCCTTTGCTTTGGCATTTTGATAGTATGATTAGCAGATTACAGGAAGAATGAGTGTGTGGAAGAGGTTTACAGTGACATTTCCAACCTGTTCAGGATATGTGGGGTTTACTTCTGAGAATCCAGAAGTTATTTCCAATAATCATCTTTAGCAACAATGTACTAGTGCTTTTAAAGGGGGTAAAATCATAAATAATTTTGTATATTCTGACGGATATCATAGATTGCTAAATCTCACATTTACTGGGAAGGAGCTCTTTACTGTACTAAACATACTGACCCGACAGTTCAAGGGAGCTGTCACTGCAGCTATCAATGGAGCTGTCAAATTGTTAAGGTAATTAAGCTTCTTGTCATTTAAAAAAAAACTGCAATGTTAAAAAATTGAATACTTGCAATTTATTTTGTTGATAGAGGCCTGAGGGATATCATTATGGGATTAGCACTGCATGACTGATTTCACAATCTATTGTTATCACAGTGGGGGTGTAATATATATTGACAGTGTAGGGGAAGTCTCACTGTATTATCACTAAGTTAGCATGGAGACTATGTACGGCCATGGGAGGGGACAGAAGAGAATAGGTTTGCATGGAAGGATGAGGGGCCAAGTGGTATGTAGAAAGGTATAAGTTGACCTAGATAGTATGTGGGGCCATGTGGATGAGTACAGGAGCATAATTGGCATTAGGATTATAAAAGGCCATGAGGGGTGGCTAGTGCAGGAGTTTGTATGGGTTGGCAAAGATGAGGTATTGGGAATGTGTGGAAGGGTTTTTGTTTGCACTTGTTGTATTCTTTTCCACCCACTGGGACAAAGTGCTGTAGCACCAAGGCAAGGCAGTCCCTGCGTCCGCTCGTGAACTCTTTTCAGGGCAATGGATATGACTCCCATTGCATTCCATCCCGAGTGAGAAGTGGAGCTTCTGGAGAATTTTTCAGCAATAAGATTTGAATTTCATGACTCTGTGCTCCCAATGTGAGAACAAAAATTCAGGACATTGTCTGCAACCATCAAACTTGATACATTTTTTTGGGAAAATTTTGCAATGAACACCCTTTTATCTTTCTGTAACACGTAAAAATTAGTAAGACTTCTTCAAAAGCATTTTTGGTAAAAAAGCGAGCATGACTGAAGGTTCATGGGATGTGGTCATGGCTGGTAGGGCTAGCATTTACTGCCCATCCACATTTCACTTTGAGAAGGTGGTGGTGAGCTGATTTCTTGAACCGCTGCAGACCATTTAGTTTAGGTAGTCTACAATGCTGTTAGCAAAGTAATTTGATCAGTAACAATGATGGAATAGTGATAGTAAAGTGTAATTCTTGTTCAATCAACATGTTCAGATATATATTACTACATATCTCAGAGCAGGTAGGGCTTGAACCTGGGTCCTTTAACTCAGTGGCATAACTTACCACTGCACAAGAACCCCTTAACGTGTAATTGACCTTTATTTTTCTAATCAATTTGTTTAGAGATGTTATTGCATCTGAAGAACACCTTAAAGTGTAATTTAATTTTTTTTATTAACCTATTTTTCTAACAAACCTGTTGAGAGATGTAATTACATACCTCTAGAACAGGTAAGACTTGAACCCGGGTCCCTTGGTCCAGGGGTAGGGACGCTACCACTGCATCACATGAACCTCTTAAAGTGTAATTTACCCAAATTGCATGAATGAGGAACATGCTTCTTTAATCACAATTCTTGCTCCCTCTTCTCATAATTGCTTAAAATATTCAGCATGTGCCCATTGAATCTGTGTTTAATCAGTTAGTTAAATTTTCATGAGAACTGCTGAGGGAATTAGTAGCATCTGAAAGGAATAATAATATTAAATACAAATCTCATGTTAATATAAGCACTGAGTAAAATGTATGGACTGAGACCATTGTTTTGTCTGTAATGCCTCTTTCAGTGGATCATATGTCGAAGGCAGAGTTCAAGTCAAAAATTATTTGCAACCTTTCATGACACGTACCTTAGAACCACTTGTGGAATCATGTGCCACTGTTTTACTGGTACAGCAACCATAGTTTTCACTTTTAATGGTTTCCTCGGTATCCTGCAAGTAATAGATTATATTTGCATATGAATTTGGAGAGCTTAAGTGTTTACCAGAAAGTATACTCAGTGACTGTACAGGCAGTGGATTGGCTGCTATCTTCTTGTTTTGGAGCTATGCTCCTGTAGAGCAGTTATCTCACCATGCAGGTGGTGTGAAATTGATCCTTCTGTCTAGCCTGTCATGTTGTGTATTATTTACAAGATCCAAGAAGGCCTACCTCCGCCAAAGAGCAATTGGAAATGATTTGTCTGTTCTAGGCGGCATTCAAAACTCAAATATATCAGCTGAATACAATCTTGACAAAGGAAATCTTATAAAAAAGCAATCAATTTCAAATGGACTGAAAATTTGCTAAGTATTTCAGTTTTTTGTGATAGATTAAAAATATCTACTGTTCTGTAAATATGGCAATCTCTTATACATGCAATCACTTTGCCTTACTATTTCTTCTGACGATCTGATTTCCTCTTGCCGTGATGGTCTCTTGAAGGAGACCAAGGCACTGACATTCAAGGAAACCTCCATTTTTCCATAGTGCTCTCTCCCACATCTTGTAGAAATAATTGATACTGGAGAGGATGATTCTTGGTGAGTTTCCTGTTTAGGGTGCTGGGTAGCAAAAACATTGCTCTGTTGTTCTCTTCGGTATTTTGTACAGGAAGCAACCTGGAACAACCGGCACAGCTGCAAATTCAGAATGGTTGCCTATGGTAGTAAAAAGTTTATTTAGACAGAAGATTTATTACAAACTCAAACTCAAAGGACTAATCAAATCAATTACTGCTCAAAACAACTTACTTCAATGACATTACTAAGTCACTTGCACTGAATGTCACATTTGATAGCAAACCACATAAGGAGATATTAAAGCAGCTGGCCAAAAGCTTGGTCATAGAGGTAGCTTTTAAGGGATGTCTTAAAGGAGGAGAGAGAAGTAGAGAGGTGAAGAGGTTTAGGGAGGGAATTGCAGAGTTTAAAACCAAGGCAGCTGAAGACATGGTCACAAACAGTGGAGTGATTAAAATTTGAGATGCTCAAGTGCCCAGAATTGGACAAATGCAGGGCGTTAAAGAGATTAATGAGTCTGTAGAGATTGGGAGGGTTGAGACCATGGAAGAAGTTAAAAACAAGGATGAAAAATTTAAAAATGTGATGTCGCTTAATCAGAAGCAAATGTGCATCAGCAAGTCAGGGATGGTTGATGAAAGGGACTTAGTAAGAACATGGACTGTAGAGCTTGGGAATGACCTCAATATTATAAAGAGAAGAATTTTGGACACTGACCAGGAGCGTGTTAGAACAGTCAAACCTGAGATAATAAAGACATGAATTAGTGTTCCAGTAGATAAGCTGAGGCAGGTATTGAGATGGATGAAGTTACAGACGTGAAAATAAGTAGCATTAATAACGCCGCAGATATGAATTTGGGATATTCAGGAGGATCAAATATGACAGCATGGTTCAGCTTCAGACAGTTGCCAGGGAGAGAGATGGAATCAGTGGCTAGGGAACAGAGCACTGAAGGGCTAAGAACTGGTGAAAGTACAGTAAGGGACCAGTGTGCAGAATTACCACTTTATATGGTAAAAGGTGAATATCTGGCATTATTTATAGCAGGGACTGAAAGAATTGGCTTTAAACTCCACAGTATTAAATTGGAGGAAACTTCTTCCTATTCAGCACTGTGATGTTAGACAAACTGTCTGATAATTTGAAATGACAGTGAAAGAATTAAGCGAGCCTTCGTAGAGTTAGGAGTAAAGTTGGGGGTCATCAGTATACTTGTGAAAAATGATGTCTTCCTCCATTATGTTGCTCAGGAGTGTTATGGACCAGGCTAGACCCTCTCAATATTTTAAGAAGGTAGCCTAGACCCTAACTTTTTCTTATTTTAAAGGCAGATGTGAAGTGGGTCTTCCAGGTGATGCAACAGGTCAAACCACTCAGTTTTAAGCAAAACAAAATTTATTTAAACACTACGGTTGAAACATGAACAAAAGTGGAATTTAGAGTAACTTAACAATTGGAAAACCTAACCGACCCGATATAGCAAATTAATTAATTAACTGATTCAATATACCAACATCCCATAAACACACTCCATGGCAAAAAGGTAAATTGAAACACAGACTATTACAGGCAGGAGGGAACAACATCTAGAGAGAGATTTCAGAGAGGAAACCCTTACTGAAGCTGGCAACCCTCTGGTACTCAACACATCCTGTGACTGCTACAGCTAAAGAAAACTTAGAAAAAAACTGGGAGAACTGGCCACGCCCTTTTCGTTGTTAAATGTACTCCCTAGACTCTTCAGTACCTTTGTCTTTACAACCTTTCTTCAAAAAATCCAAGGACAAAATAGCCTTTTTAAAGTAACAGCATCATCACAGCAGGAAGAGACGCCATTGCAGGTAATTTTCAAGCTGTGATTAGATAGATAGCAATGGAATTGGGTGATTGCAGTTCAGGAGTTAAAATTACTTTTCTCATGGGCTAATTTTTCATTTTTGGGGCCTGCCTTCCCATTCTCACGAGCTGCTTTATAGATGATGTAGTTATATGACAACAATATCTTCTGAATTTGCAATTTTTTTTGGCTTTCCTTCTTTGGTAAGGCAGTATTGCACAAATATTACATATATGTAGTCATAAATATTAAATATTTTAACTTTGGGATCTATAATTTTTTTTGTAAATGGTCAGACATCATGCATGCAACTGTGTGTATGCAGATGGATCATGGTGGCCATTTATAATTATGGTGCCCTATCTCCTGCATTGGGAGCACACAATCTGATCATTTTTATCCAGCACGCGATAAATGATGGTCAGGATTGATTTGATCAGAGTACTCCATTCACAGGTATTTACATTACTGGCAGATTAGTTTTGTTTATGGGCATTATTGCTTATTCTTTGCACCTGAAAACCTTTCCTGTTCATTGCTTAGATGATGAGTTTTTTTTAACCCATTACATCACCCAACATAGGATAACAAGGTGTAGAGCTGAATGAACACAGCAGGCCAAGCAGCATCAGAGGAGCAGGAAGGCTGATATTTCGGGCCTAGACCCTTCTTCAGAAATGGGGGAGGGGAAGGGGGTTCTGAAATAAATAGGGAGAGAGGGGGAGGTGGATAGAAGATGGATAGAGGAGAAGATAGGTGGAGAGGAGACAGACAGGTCAAAGAGGCGGGGATGGAGCCAGTAAAGGTGAGTGTAGGTGGGGAGTTAGAGAGGAGATAGGTCAGTCCAGGGAGGACGGACAGGTCAAGGGGGCGGGATGAGGTTAGTAGGTAGGAGATCGGGGTGGGGCTTGAGGTGGGAGGAGGGGATAGGTGGGAGGAAGAACAAGTTAGGGAGGCGGGGACGAGCTGGGCTGGTTTTGGGATGCGGTAGGGGGAGGGTAGATTTTGAAGCTTGTGAAATCCACATTGATACCATTGGGCTGCAGGGTTCCCAAGCGGAATATGAGTTGCTGTTCCTGCAACCTTCGGGTAGCATCGTTGTGGCACTGCATGGCCCAGGATGGACATGTCGTCTGAGGAATGGGAGGGGGAGTTGAAATGGTTCGCAACTGGGAGGTGCAGTTGTTTAGTGCGAACCGAGCATAGGTGTTCTGCAAAGTGGTCCCCAAGCCTCCGCTTGGTTTCCCCGATGTACAGGAGGCCACAACGGGAACAGCGGATGCAGTATACCACATTAGCAGATGTGCAGGTGAACATCTGCTTGATGTGGAAAGTCTTCTTGGCACCTGGGATGGGGGTGAGGGGGGAGGTGTAGGGGCAGGTGTAGCACTTCCTGCGGTTGCAGGGAAAAGTGCCGGGTGTGGTGGGGCTGGAGGGGTGTGTGGAGCGGACAAGGGAGTCACAGAGAGAGTGGTCCCTCCGGAAAGCAGATAAGGGTGGGGAGGGAAAAATGTCTTTGGTGGTGGGGTCGGATTGCAGATGGCGGAAGTGTCGGAGGATGATGCGTTGGATCCGGAGGTTGGTGGGGTGGTATGTGAGGATGAGGGGGATTCTGTTTTGGTTGTTATTGCGGGGAGGGGGTGTGAGGGATGAGTTGCGGGAGACACGGTCGAGGGCGTTCTTGACCACTGAGGGGGGGAAGTTGCGGTCCTTGAAAAACAAGGACATCTGAGATGTACGGGAGTGAAATGCCTCATCCTGGGAGCAGATGCGGCGGAGGCGAAGGAATTGGGAATAGGAGATGGCATTTTTGCAGGAAGGTGGATGGGAGGAGTAGCTGTGGGAGTCGGTGGGCTTGAAATGGATATCGGTTTCTAGGTGGTTGTCAGAGATGGAGACAGAGAGGTCCAGGAAGGAGAGAGAGGTATTAGAGATGATCCAGGTGAACTTAAAGTTGGGGCGGAAAGTGTTGGTGAAGTGGATGAACTGTTCGAGCTCCTCATGGGAGCACGAGGCGGCGCCGATACAGTCATCAATGCAACAGAGGAAGAGGTGGGGTTTAGGGCCAGTGTAGGTATGGAAGAGGGATTGTTCCACGTAACCTACAAAGAGGCAGGCATAGCTTGGGCCCATGTGGGTATCCATGGCCACCCCCTTTGTCTGTAGGAAGTGGGAGGAATTGAAAGAGAATATATATGTGTATGTGTTGGAGGTGCAGTACTGCAATCTGCCGAACCCCCTATGATCTATACTTAAGGCTAATTCATCTGTCTTTCGAAACTGAGTGTGAGATCCAGGTCATTTAAGGGTTGGGTAATCACATGACACTATTCAAAGATGAGCAAGGGCTTTCTCCTGCTTTTCTGGACATCTCTCTCTTGTCTGAGTTTACCAAAAACATTTGATTAACTGCTTATTCTCTTCTTATGTTTGTGGGACTTCATGGTATACAATTTTGTTTTATACTCATTCATAAGATGTGTGTTGCTGGCTTGACCAACATTAATTTTCCATCTCTAATTGCCCTGGAGCTAAATGACATTTTCAGCCATTTCTGAGGGCACTTAAGAGACACTTGCATTGCTGTGGATCTGGAATCATATGCAGGTCAAAAAGGTAAGGGTGGCAGATTTCCTTCCCCAGAGGATTTGAGTGAGCCAAAAATTGTCATTACTCTAGCTTTTTAATTCCAGATTTTATAGAGTTCGGATTTCTCCATCTGCCAGTGATTGGATTCAAATGCACGTTGCCAGGGCTTTGTCTGGGGTCTCCGGTTACTAGCCAATGACATTATCACTGTGCCACTGCAACCCCGAGTTTAATTACAATACAATAGTGACCCTATATAACAACCTTCATTGACTGTTAAACAATTTTGATTGTCTCAAGGTCATAAAGAGTACTATTTAAATGCAGATATTTGTATCAGTACGAGCATGCTATTCTCAACTGGTTTAGTGCCTGTCTGGGCTGCCTGCAGAGCTATGTATCTATGTATAAATATTGGAATTTTCACACATAGGGAGGCTTTGCTTCTGTGCAGCATCTGGTTCCTGCAGCAGGGCCTCCAGATTAGAGTGAGGTACTAAGGCAAGGCAAGTTTGGCTGGGAAAAGCAAGTCAATCTTCCCAAGACCCCTCTCCATTCCTGTCTTTTCTGTAGTCTGAAAAGTCCAGGCACTGGTGAGCTTTTCTGAAGAATGCCATACTTCCTTTAATTAAAAATTCTTCCTTTAACAGAATGGGTACATATTCTGCCCACCTCCCCCATTTGGTCAGGAAGTGGGTTGACAATTGGT